GTGTGTGTGTGTGTGTGTGTGTGTGTGTGTGTGTGTGTGTGTGTGTGTTCATCCACAGTAGATCAGGTTGTATGTATTCCTACTGGACTCCATTCACCGCCTGAATCCTCGCTCATCTATCCCATGAAAACACCCTGTCCTTTCAAGCTCACAAGCCAGAAACCAGGAAGTCACAGCCACCTGCCTCCTGTCTCTTCTCCCACAACTTCCTACATCTGTTCAGTCACCTACAGTAGTCTATACTGGAAGTTAAAACTTGGGCAGCGGGTAGAGGGGGGTCGTGGTTCTGGAGAGATGAATCGGCAGTTAAGAAATCGCTCTTGTGGAAGACCTGCATTCCGTGGCCAGCTCATTCATGTTGGGCAGCTCCGGAGGCTACAGACGCATCTGGCTTCCATGAGCACCTGCTTTCAGGCGCACTTGCGGTTGCGTGCACACACGCACACACAGTTAAAAATAAAAGTGCTCTTTAAAAGACAAATAAGTCAATAAATAAAACAAAAACAACTCAAATAATTTATCTTAAAAAAAAGAGGGCTGGAGAGATGGTTCATAACCATAAAAGGAGAGAGAGAGAGAGAGAGCCTCTATAGTTGTTCTCTACCCCACAGTGCTGCTGCTGAGGGAAGCCTTCTGAGTCACTCAGCAGGCCATAAGCAGCAATAGAAGCCGAGTTTCCTTCCAGCTTTGCCAAAGTGTCTTGCTAAAGCCCCAGACAGCCTCCACTTCCTCTGACATTCCTCAGACCCACTTCTGTGTTTCCAGTGACCCGGGGCCCTGCCAGCCCACCTGGCTTTGAACCCTGTTCTTCAGGCTTCCCGAAGACCAAGACCATGCCTCTGTGAACTGTCTGAGGCCGTCTCTGATGAGCGCCAACTTGGCAGGGCACAGTGTCCCTTTTCTGTGAAGCACAGAGCAGAGTGAAACACCGTGGGCACAGGCCCATCCCATGGCAGTCATGGGGAGCCATATTTAGGACAAATAAAGAAACCTTCTAACTTTGGGTATACATATTTTACTACTTAAAAAAGATTTATTGATTTATCTATATTACGTATACATGTGTTTTGTCTGCATGTCTGTCTGCACATCAGAAGAGGGAATTAAATCCCATACAGTTATAAACAGTTGTGAACCACCGAGGGGGTGGGGGGCGGCTGGGAATTGAATCCTTGACCTCTGGAAGAGCAGCCAATGCTCTCAACCACTGAGCCATCTCTCCAGCCCCCTAATTTTACTACTTATTAAAGATGAAAAAGAAAACACATACTTTTGTCATTTTTATAAAAAAGATTAAACTTTGGCTAAATATTTGCTACTGGAGGGCATACAATATCTTCATTCTTTGAATGTAAATTAGTTTTTCTCTGTTCCCATTCCCTGCGCTTCCCATCTTTCCCCTGGTATCTTTCCCCTTCTGCTTTCCCATCACATGTGTCCATTTGCTGCCCCTCCCCCATGTCTTCTTGAAAACTACTATTAAAATTACCAAACTTTCTAAGATGAGAGAGAGAGAAATAAAGAGAGAGAGAGTTTTGTGGATTCTATTGCGCAAACTCATGTGAACCGAGAAATTGCAGCACACTGGCAGGTCCTGGCCGTTAAGCTTTTAACAGAAATTCATAATGAAGTGGTTTTCCTTTTCAGATTATCTTATCCCAGAGCCAGGCTTCCTTGGGTTGTAAAAACATGTGTTTTGGTTTTAAATTAATTTTAATTTAAAAACTGAGGATTTACAACAACAGAAAAGTAAATTATAGTAATTGTGGTTAGCACTTAACACCATAAGCCAGTGATAGCCTTAGTACTGATGTGTTTCATTCGGCCAGTGTTCCTTTGAAGTGGGTATCATTATTAGTCCCTGTTACACATAAAGACACTGAGCACAGAGAGGCGAGTAGCCTACAGAAAAACACACAGCTGAAACGCACTACACATTTGGAAATGAAACCAAGGAAGCCTGGCTCTCTCCTCCTCTCCCCTCTCCTCCACATCCCTTCCCTCTCCAATCCTCCCCTCGCCCCTCCTCTCTTTCCCCCTCCTCTTCCCCCTCCCCAATCCTTCCTTCTCCCCCTCTCCTCTCCCCCTCTTCTTCCTTCTCCTTCATTCCCCCTCCCCTCTCCTCCCCAATCATCCCCTCTCCTCCTCTATTTTCCTCCCTTCTCCCTCCCCCTCCCATTCCCTCCCCTTCTCACCCCTCTCCTCTTTCCCTCTGGAAACCCACTAAGTGAACTAGTGCTTACTTGCTGAAATTTTGATTTTGTGACTTTGTTGGCTTGACCTTAAACAGGCCTGGTGGAGGTAAGAGTAACTGCTGTGAGTTCCCATCCAGCAGCCAAGCCAACATCTCACAGCATTCTTCCCCACCTTCTGGGTGTCCCTGGGCACTTCACAGCCACCATTTAAAACAGGAACGCCCAACACTGGCACAGCCCCCGCTACATAGTGGGCACTCAGTAAAGCTTTACCGGATTATTATCTTCTCTCGGGTGGATGGCAAGAAGGCAGAAACACATGCACAGCCAAAGGAAGAGTCTTCCCAAGAAATTTGGAAAGTTTCCAAATGCTGGTGAGACTAGGTGCTTCACTCAGGAATTTAATATCTTCTGAAGTCACTGCCCTCTACCAGGCACAGCCAAGGAGCAGCTGGTGACTAAGGTCTGGTGGCCAGAGTCTGGTAAGGGCTAATGAGCTGCTTCAGCTGGAGCCCTTTGCTACAGATGCCATTTTGAACCTTCACTCTGCATAACCATCTATTTGTCTCTTCACAATTCAATGTCTGATCCCGTTTCCCTAAAGTGACGTAGATACTACACTGGAGATATCATTTCTTGGTTTATTGTCTTAGCAAAATGGCTGTGTCCCAGCTTGCCCTGACTTTCCATCTCAGCTTTTGCTCTCCACCCTATACTCTAGTTCCCAGCATGCACTCACTGTTGGTCCCCAAAACTCCATGGTCTCCTTACCAGCCCTAACCCTCACACTGTCCCAGGGAGAGGCCAGACTGTCCACATGGACGCCTCTGCCTCCTGGGTGGATCTTTAGCCTCTCCCAAGAGCCTACTACTCTCTGTTACCCTGTAGACAGTCCTAACACCTAAGTTCCCACTTTCTGAGAGTTAACAACCATGGGGAGAAAGGACCAGCTTAAAGGAAGACTATTGATGGGCTCTGCCCCAGACTCAGGTCATAGAGAGAGCCCTCTCTATGCCCTGTTTTCCCCTTCTGTAATACAAAGGCAATGTGATAGGCTCACTTCAGGTCTAATCTTCTGGAATAGTCTTCACCCTTCCTGAGGATGCTTTATTTACAATAAGACTCCACTTCACAGACCGATCATCCATTCACATCTAGCATCCTTTGGTGCCTCAGCAGCCCTCCATCAAGTGGTGATGAAGACATTAATGTAGGCAGAGGTGCACTGCAGCCCAGTGAGTTTCAACCTTACTCGGATCTCTCTACCTTCACACATCTCTCTACCATCACTCCGTGATGCCGCATTACTACCTCTCATGTGCCACCTTATTCCACCTCATGGGGCAATCACTGTCCATGCCATCAACAGGCTAAGATCTCCTTGAAGGAATGATGAGGTTTTATTCCACTGTCTCTGCTCTCTCAAACAGCAGATGAGCAGGAATTTGGGCTGAACTGAAACACCATGGAAGATGAAGTCCATGTGGACCTAAGAGCCCAAGACACAAGTCTTTGATGTGTGATGTTGAAGCTGCACCAACCCAGAAAGATCATGAGAAAGACCAGCTTGTGTGCTTTCAGGGAGCACAGAACACAAGACCTGGAAGCTAGGTGATGATGTTGAAGACCGAAAGCACAGCAGAGAGCTGAGTGCCATCTGTGCATTGGAAGAAGAGGAACAATGAGGCAGGACAAACTTGTGCTTTGTGAAATGACCCTGAAGTACCCCAGGATGCTACTCTGCCCCTCCCAGCTATTAACGTGGAAGCACCAAGGAGGCCTGGCTCCTTGTTTCTTGTTTCTGAGAGGAGCATGTTGCAGTGTGAGGTCTAAGGCAAGTCAGGGTAATTGAGCTAAAGGTGACTGAGACCTTGAGTCCACCGTCCAGTTTCCCTTGTTTGCCCTACTTTGAGTTTGACCCCCCAGCCTTAGTGTAGTCTGCATCTTCTACACAGGTCCTAAGCAGCTAGGAACATGAGGCGTTGCCTAGGGACTGGCTAGGTTGGCTACACGTTCTGTCTGCAGCAAACACTATTGCTAGGTATCAATCCTTAGTTGCACTAGACCATTCTTTGTCTGGGTCTTCCAAACTTGGTTTCTTTCTCTGCTTCTCTTATCATTCCAATAAAATATCCTGAAATCTCTGTTTTTTTTTCTTTTTTTTTTTTTTTTTTTCTATTCCTTCCTTGTTCTTGATAGGCTAAACCAACCCTTCTGAATGATGCTCATGGTATTTTTGTGTGTGGAAGAATCTAGAGAGGCCAATGTGTTTTCTCGTGTGGTCACACCCATATGGTTTTTTTCTTCCGGAGACCACAGCCAACCTGGAAAGATTGATGTGAAGGCTCCGCTGCCTGAAGGTACCCACCACTAACTGCACTGAGTTCTTATCCACAAGCCCTTGCTAGAAGGTGTGAACATTGCGTCCTTCCTCTTGGGTTCACAACCACCTCCTCCCACCTCAGTCACTATCGCTGGTGTACCACTTCCCCCTCCAGCATGCACCCCGCTCCTCCCCTCCATCTCTCTCTTTTCTCTTCCGTGATGTCACTGCTGGGGAAAGACAATCTGAGGAACTCCTCACTTTCTGCCAACTTCAGTTTCTTTCTCGATGCCATTACATCATCTTTACTCATGAAATTCCGTTTTCCTGCACCCCTGCCCCAAGCCCCAGAGTCCCTATAAAGAGGGGTTCCCAACTCAGATCAGCACAACACTCAGCCAGATTCTGACGCTTCTGGGCTCTGCAGGCTCAGCTCTCTGCAAACCTCTCCCCCAGCGACGCCATGAAGCTCTGCGTGTCTACCCTCTCTCTCCTCCTGCTTGGGGCTGCCTTCTGCGCTCCAGGGCTCTCAGCACCAAGTAAGTTGACCCTTCCACTGCTGCCTCAAGCACCAGTGGGTCTGGTTTTCCAGCTGGGGTCAGCCTAACAGTAAGGTTTGGGGAGGGAGACAAAGGGGAGGAGGGGAGATTCCCAAGTCTGCTGTTAAATATAGTCTACCAGACATTTATTAATATTTAGGCTCCAGTTTCTTCAAGAATTAACAACCAACAGAGGGAAGTGGTGGGCTGCAAGCCAGATACTGAATCAGCTTTCTCTCTGGCTTAAGCTTGTTTGTCTCTATGCCTTGATTTCCCCACCTGCAACATGAAGGAATTGAGAAGTGTTCTGATTCTCAATCCAGTTTCAATCATCTAGAATTTTTTTCCCTTTTCTTTGAGGACTGTCTTTTTAGAGTAAAAATCTCATTCTGGGTGGATGACCATGGATTCAAGGGACCATGTTTTGGGTTCTAGTAGGCAATAGGAATGCTCAATGATGATCTATAATGAACAGTGCCAGGCACAGTTTTGACCTTACCCTTACTTTTCCTCCTAGTGGGCTCTGACCCTCCTACTTCCTGTTGCTTCTCTTACACCTCTTGGAAGCTTCCTCGCACATTTGTGGTAGATTACTATGAGACCAGCAGCCTTTGCTCCAAGCCAGCTGTGGTGTAAGTATACGTTAGCATGAGAACAAGACTCAAAAAGTCTGGGCTCATTTGAAAAGGTTAATAACAGAGGGGAGTCAGTTCTAAGGGTTGAAGCTCTGCCAAAGAACAGTGAGGTCATGAGGTAATTTTTTCAGTTCCGATAGTGGCTGGACGGTCAATGAAGGGTGGGGGGTAAAAAGTGGGGCTCTTGGGAAGATATCCACAAGCTATGAAACTAGAAACAGAATGATGTATACTATATAGACAGATTGCTTAAACTATGCTAGCAAAGCATGTAGAAAGGCCATTTCAAGGAGCAATGAAAAATTGAGAGAAATTTATATTGATTATAAAGCTCATCGATTCCTATAGGGAAACCCTGGGTCCACAGCTACTCCCATGCATCAGAGTTACAGGGAATCTAAGTGTCAAGGTCATCCAGGAAGAATCCCATCTACCATGGCTGCCCGTTCAAGCAATGGTCAAGCAGAGAGATTTTGTGCTTAGCACAGGCGAAGGTAGATGTTCTCTAAGGTTCCAAGGGATTCTCATCTATCTTCTCCTTCTTCTACAGATTCCTGACCAGAAAAGGCAGGCAAGTCTGCGCTGATCCCAGCGAACCCTGGGTCAACGAGTATGTGAATGACTTGGAGTTGAACTGAGCTGCTCCAGGCTCAGGACAGGAGCAACCTCTTCAGGAAAAACCTCCCAAGTCCTGGAACTTCTCATTAAGAAGAACCTTGCTCCTTACATTCAGAATTTACGTCCCATTTCTTAATTTAAATCTTTATGTAGACTTTGTTATTTTATTTGGTATTATTTCTGTTATTTATGTTTAGTGAAAGGACATGTGTCTCCCATGGAGATGGTCCGCCTTTGCTGTTCCTCTGTTACTGTGGGTTTGATCATATAACTGATTTGATGCATTTTCATAATAAATCTTTCTTTGAAATACAGTTACGATTTTAACTGGATCTTGATTGGGGTTGAAACTTCCTGGTGCTATTAGGTATAAATTACAGTTTGCAAAAGCAGTGAGAATAAGTAAATACCAAGACCTCAGCATGTCCTGTTGGCTACATGCTCTCAAAAATTTCTCAAATTTGGGAATGTTAACACCAGTATGAGGTGGGGACTGGCATCTACAATTACACAAATCAAGAAACAGGGACAGAGAGAGAAGGGGTTTTCCGAGGCTTGTAGATTTGCTTGGGAAGCATCGTGAAAGAATGATCCGGAGAGACAATGTTGTCCCTTAAGGTTATTAGAATGACATTCTGGGGGGGGGGGGAACTGTGACTAGGGGCAATGGCGCAATATGGAGGGAAAGGATGTGGTTCAGTCAGAAAGGGGATAAGGTTTTCTGAAATTCATGTTTGCTCCTGGGTCAGCAATTTAAACCACAAAGTAAATGAGACAACAAAAGCCAAAGTGTCTGGTTTGGCTCTAAAATGTCATGTGCCTAAGCCATGTCTACTTAATAATTCTCAGCCATAACTTTTCATCGGTCGGAGAGAACAGTAGAATAAGATGAGTCTAATCAATGGTTCTTAGACTCACAGTGTGTTGAAACTGGGAAAGTAATCCTTGGGCCAACTGGTCTACCTCTCATTTTGTGGCAACAGAGGCTAAAGATTGGGAAATAACTCGCCAAATGCCACTTAGTGTAAGGCACAGCAGCACTGCAGCTGATGCCAACACATAGGTCAGTGCCCTTACTGGGTATCTTTTCTGGTGACACACTTCTGTGGTCCTCAAAGGGAGTATCCTCTGAGTACCACAGACAAGGAGAAGATGGCCCTGAAAGCCATGTCAGCCTTGCCTCTGTATAAAAATGAATCTGGACCTTCTCCTCTGAGCCTGCAAACACAGCCCCCTTTCTTTTCCCATCAGCTACTCCTAGCATCCCAGATGCTGCATAGAAATGGTCCTAAAGCAGGTCTGAGGGGCTGACAGCAAGAACGGTTGGCTTCGGATTGCCTTTGTCTGGATTTGAGCTGTCCAATACATTAGCCACTGGCCAGGTGCCTACTTAAATTTCAATGACATGCAACTAAAATAAAGTTTAAATTCAGCTTCTCAGTCCTGCCATTTGCAGGTGCTGATGACTACAGTGTTAGAAAGTACTAGTCCAGAAACTGCGTGTCATCACAGAAAGCTCCATTGCATGGCACCTTCCTGAGAGTGGCGATCAGGGAAGTCAAGGTAGCCTAGAAGGTTCTAGTATAAACTCAGAGATACATAGCTCCATTCTGAGTGGATGGGACAGGAGAGAAAATGAATGGTCCTCAGAACTGAGAGAAGGTACAGATCACTGTAGAAGGCTGAACAATGACTTCCCAATATGACCACATCCTAATCATCACAACCTGTCATTGTCACCACATATAGAAAATGGGACTTTGCAGATAGGATTAAGTTAAGGGTCCTGGGATAAAAAATTTACTCTTAATTACTCAGGCCTCAATTGTAGCCATGCACCCTGATTAGGGTGGCAGAGGGAAACTGGAAGACAGGAGAGAACGCAGCAATGTGACAACTAAAAAACAGCATGCCCTCTGCCTCTAAAGATGGCAATGGAGTCCATGCACCAAGGGTTGGAAAGATGGCTCTTCAGTGAAGAGGGCTTGCTGCTCTTGCAGAGGACCTGGATTTGATTTCTAGGACCCACATGACAGTTCATGGCCATTTCTGACTCCTTTTTTGGGAGGGAGGAAATCCAATGCCTTCTTCTCTTTAGGTCTTCAGGTACCAGGCACCATACGTTATATGGTGAACACATATACACATATGCATACGTGCACATATGTGTATGTACATATATGTGTGTATACATGTTTGTATACGCATATATACATACATGTTTACATATACATATATGTACATACACACACATATATGTACATATACATGTGTTCATACATACATATATATATGTGCAAACACAGAATTTTTTATCTTAAAAAATGAATGAAGCTCTAGATGATAGAAAGGGTAAGGAAATGATTTCTCCCCCCCGAGTCCCCTAAAGGAAATCAGCCTGGTGAAACTAATTTCAGATTTCTGACCCCCAGAAGTTTAAAGAATTAAATGTCTTTCATTTCAAGACGTCATGCTTATCATGACTTGCTATAGGAGGAACAGGAAACTGGTACAATTGATAGCTGAAGAGTCACTGACTTTGATCCTTACAGGTGCAGAAAAAAATGGAACATTCTAGAAAGTAAGCCAAACATCCCTAAAGGGTACCCCAGGGCGAGGTGAACATACACCAGAGAGGTGGGCTACAGTGAGATTGGGCATCTCAAGATAAGGTTCTGTTTCAACAGCTGAAGATGAGAGCTGAGTCTTCCCAGAAGGTACTGACCCTCAGAAAGTACAGCTCTTCTTAAGATTCCTGTGGCACTATGAGGGACTTGAATTCTTAGCTGGGAAAAGAATCCATCCTCTCATTTATCAGAAAAGGCCTAGAGTAGAGTGATGGCCTGTTTGTGCTTGCATTATTGCTGAGAGAGCAAGATTAGGATCAGAGTCGGGATCTCCTCCTTCATAATGATTTCTTGTTCCCATATGGTCCTGCTCTTGGCAAACTGGGAGGAAGTCCGTTCCAGAGGCAGGGACAACAAAGGACTTCCTGGAGCCTTCTCTGCGGGAACCCACCTGCTGCATCATGTAAAACCTAGGTCTCTCCCTTCTCCTCTTGGCTTGTGACCTTCTTTTTTAGTCTACTATGAGAAAGCTTATCTACTTGCTTAACCTTCCACGTGGACTTTCGCCAGGTTTCTGGGTGTGCAGCAGAGCCTGACGAGAGAAGGCAGAGCAAGAGAAAGGACATGGGCTCCTAGAGCAGCATCTCAGTGCCAGCCAATACTGTCCTCCTCCCTTCAGAGCCTTCTTCCCACATTCTCTTCCCAATTTTCATAGGGTGCAGATATCCCTACGGTATGGAATTCTCTGGGCATATGTTCAGGGGTAAAATATCTGGATCATATCGTAGTTCTATTTTTATTTTTTGAGAAATCTCAAACTGATTTCTGCAATATCTGTATTAATTTGTAACCTCGCCAACTGTGAATAAGGGTTCTTTTCCCACCACATCCTTTCTCACATGTATGATTCTGTGTGTGTGTGTGTGTGTGTGTGTGTGTGTGTGTGTGTGTGTGTGTACGTATATATTCTGCAACTTTATGCAACCCTATTTTGGTTTTGGAGTCCAGGAGTTTTCTAGCAGACTCAGTATATCTTCAAATAGGACAGTCTGACTTCTTCCTCTCCTAGCCCTTGTTATTCCTTTTAAGTACTTTTCTTGTCTAATTTCTATAGCTAAGACTTAAGAGATGGATTGAATGAGAAAGAACAGAGTTGACATCCTTGTCATGTTCTTGATATTAGAGGAAAAGTTTCTAGGAGGAAAATTAAGAATTTGTGTGAGGACTTTTGTGAATGTTGTCTAGAATTCACCAGTAAAACTGTCTGGTGCTGGGGCTTTTCTTTGAGTGGAGACTTGTAATAACAGCTCCAATCTCATTGTTAGAATGGGCCTGCTTAAGCTACTTATATCTTTCAGGCCTGCTATTTGTACATGATATGTATTTAGAAAATTTTCTATTTCTTCTGGGCTATCCAGCTTTTCATACTATAAGTTTTCATAGTAGTTTCAAATATTGTGAATTTCACATGGGTCGGTTACAATGACACTTCTTTGATCTCTAATGTTGTTGATCTGTAGCTTCTCCCTCTTTCTTTTTGACCAATTAGTTAAGAGTTTCTCAAGCTTATTAACTTTTTCAAAGGGCCAATTCTTTATTTACTCAGTATTGTGTATTGTTTTCTTAAATCTCTAGGTCATTAATTTCTCCCCTAATCTTTGTTATTTCTTGCTGTCTCTTGTGGTTTGAACTGGCCACATGTTGTTTTTCAAGAGTCTTAAGATGCATCATTAGGGTATTGCTTTCATAGCTCTCATTTCTTTAAATACGGGCACTTAATACTATGACTTTCCCTCTTAGAGCTACCTTGGCTGCATCCCATTAAGTTCTTATAGAATAAGTTTTCATTTTCATTTGTCTCTAGGAATTTTTTTTATTTCTTCTCTGATGTCTTGGATAACCCACTGTTCATTTAAAAGATGTATTATTTAGTCTCCAAGTATATTTAATGCTTTCTATAGCTTCTCTTATTGATTTCTAGTTTTATTGCATTGTGGCCTGATAGGATACAAAGATTTGTCTCAATTTTTTTTTGTTGTTGAGACTGAACTTCTGTCTTGTGGTGTAAACACTGTTAGAAAAGATTCTATGTGCTTCTAAGAAAAATTGTATTCCATCTCTGTTCCTTCTTGTCCCGCTCAAAGATCCAGTGAACAAGCACGGTCCCAGCTATGGGCACTAAAGACAAGGAAATGGCTAAACAGGCCACCATCAGTGATGAGAAACAGTAAGCAAGAGATATAATAATATTAAGATGCTAACAATACTAAGAAGATGCTTATGGGCTACCCGACAGATGACACTTTCTTTAGAAGATGTTGAGATCAGGCTGCAATCTTTCCTAAATTCTCCATATTGTGTAACACAATTGTTTTTCTGACTGTGGATTGCCCTGAGACACTTCATTTTACTAAATGTAGCCATTGACTCCATTTGGAGAACGAAGAATGACTGTGAACCTGGGTGGGCACGTGAGCGGTGCCACCTGTCTGGTGCCACTCACACCACACAGGTGGACAAATGATTCATTCCTAGGAGTACAAAGTGTGGCAGTTGATAAGTTTATTTGGATGAATTATATAAGGGGCACATAGAAGGACATATCAGAAAAGCCAGGTCCAAGAGCTTACTGCACACAGCAT